GATGTGTATCTGACACACTGTTCCACGTCTCGTCAAGGTTCTCACAGCGCCCCCCTACCGCCAAAATCTGCCCTTTTATTCCCTGGAATCAGGAGAGTACCTGAGAGTACTTCCACTCATCGAACAGAGTTCCCAAGAAGATCGCTGACAAGATCTACCCCAGGTTGTGTGCAATACTCCAATATATAGTGTCATTTTATTAGTTATTAGGAAATATTCTTTGGAATGGGAGGGTGTTGTGCTGTGTCTCCATGAGACACACAGACTGGTGACAGCAAGCTAGGGGGTCACAGGGAGGGGTTGGCCAACAAGCAGCACCCCAGGAACCTGAGGTTAAGGGCCTTGCTCAAGAGCCACAAACATGTGACCATTCTGCTGAGGCTTGAACTGGCACCCTTCTGTTTACAGGTACAGAGGCTTAGTCCACTGAGCCCCACACCACCCCTATGTACTTCAATTCACAAGTCCACAGCAGTCCGGTGATCTGGTATCTAAATCACTTCCAGAATATAATAGTGTGAAAAACTGTTTGCCCTGAAATGGACTAACATCCCAGACCAGACTGTCCCCTGCCTCATTCCCCGGGCTTCCTAGAACACTGAGACCCTCTTCTGAATAAGTGATTATAGCCAATGAAAGGAAATTACATCAACAGGTAAGCGACTATAAACAAGCAACAAAAAGCTGAATTCGACAGGCAGTGGCTGTCCACTCTGTCAGTGCTCTAATTAGACATTGTATCAAGTCAGTGCTCACAGCCTGTGTAAGAACATAAATATACTGCATTCCCACATACCTGTAATGGAGTCAGATGCAACAGTGCAATAAGATTTTACAAACTGGTAAAAACAAGCTTTACCCCATAGGAAGCTGTTTCCAGAAGGTGTGGCCCCGTTTTACTGCAAACTGCAGCCAGTGCAGCTGATTCTCAGGTCAAATCCGCGCCGAGGGTCCGAGCGTCAGCTAAAAATTAGCTGAGCGTCAGTAACTGCAGACATGCTTGGCGGCGGCCTGCAATCCGTCTACTGGATACCGGAAAGCATGATCTTTCGAACCAATGCAAACAGCTATTAATTAAAAAGCCCCCAAATAAGTCAGTGCCGTTTGCAGTGGAGCAAACGTGCCAAAAGGCAGGACACCTGCAGGCTTCTCCAAATGACCTGATTACTTATTTTCAGCATCAGGTTTCTCTTTTCACAGGTATAAGGCATCCTGCCTATTGTGCCTAATAAACAAAGCATATAGGAATTTGCCATTCAAACTTATTGTCCATAACAAATACAGCTTGTATCGATATAAAACACACACACACACACACACACACAGATGTTTGCAATTATATCTTTGTGGGTACTCTCCATTCATTTCTATGAGGAAAACTCTAATCATAACATGACAGTCTTAACTCCTACCCAGCCCTAATCTTAACCATAAGTACTGTAACTAAACAAAATGCAGTTTTTTGATTGCATCCACAGATCTTTGTGGGGACCTAAAAAATGGTCCTGAAAATGTCAAAATAACAGATTTTTATCACATTGTGGAGTACATTTGGTCCCCACAATGTAATATAAACAAAATCCACACACACACACACACACACACACACAATCTAAGGCACCATCATGAGTATATGACTCACCCAGGGGAATGCCCACTAAAGATGTAACTGTTTATTATAAGTAGAGTGTACACTTGACCTTTGGACTGTCGTGACTTCAGTCAGTTGCTGAATTGAGAATATGTTAAAATGGCAATTTAAGCATGACAGCACAAGAGTGACCAAAGGACACTGGCACTAAAAACTGTCTATTTACATTTTCCATGCAAAATGTACAAATACATTTAGCTATTAGAAAATAGTGCAAGCAAGCTGGGCACAACTGCATTGTGAATGTCTATGTACCCTGTGACTGATGCCCTGTATAGGGAATCCCCTGCATTGGGTCCCTTACGCTTGGACAGCAACTAAGGCAATCAAAGTCAAGCTCAGTGACTGTTCAGAGTGCCAAGACTCCTGAATGCAGAGTCCAAGTCTCCAATGCTGATTGGCTGGAACGTGCTCAGTGCTGTGCAAAAATATCAAATATATCACTGCAGACTGTTTTTACAGTATCTACAAACTAGCCTGCAGATGATGTCCTAAGAACGCTACTACACATTTGGAAAAGCCAAAGGAGATTGATAAAGAACTGAAACTTACACAGGTCTTCCTGCCTGTCTAAAATTACATTAATGGCCCAGCGCTGGGCCGATCCTGAAGCTTGATGAAAGAAGTAGTATTTGGATCAGCCAATCAGGCCTGAGATCCAGTTGCTGAAAGTCTGAGACAAGGTGGCAACAACAAAATCGAATATCCACCTAATACAGCAGGACCGATATGAACATTCTGTCAACAACACCAATTTTAAGTGAAAATATTAGCCAATATAATTCTATAAGATCAAAAATCAAACAGGCACCAGTAATTTTAAAGCAGTGCTTTACTGACTGATATGAATACCTCAATTTGTCAAACACAAATAGCAGAAACTCATAGTCTTAATATAACAACCGCATGCTAAGCTACAGTGATATTTGACGAATTTGGCAAGTGGAAAATATATATAACAGCAACCTCCATGAGGGCAAGGACAGCCTGCATAGTTTTACACAAGCCCTAGCTGACAATCAGCTTTGCCCAGTCTCTTCCCGATATCTATCCTGCCTTCAAATCCACATGCCTTCCACCATCATACAAAAGATAATCAACCAGCGCAGAATCTTGATTTGCAACATGCATCACACTATAATACCCAGCTAACCGTAAGTTTTAATGAGGTGAATTGGAATCGGTTTAAAAATTAGTTGCTTTTTATATTTATGAGGTCAGTTTAGAGCAGATGTAGGTCAACTACCCAACAGCAATGTTGTCAAGGATAAGCAGAGTTGTGCCTTTCAAAGGGTATGCTAATCACAGTCTGGGCAAGGCTAAGTTGCAGAATTTATCTCCCATACCTGACGCCCTACGCCTGATGACAGCAAAGTAAGGAACAGTAGAAAATGCTGGAATGACATTCTGTCTGCCGCCTATAATCATTAAGGCTGAGCCAGACGAACTGGGATTAAATGTTTAAATAAATATAAATAAATTCAATTAGCCGGCAAATATGGATTTCTTTGAAGTGTGACATGGCAGGAACCTTGTTAGCCTAGCTGAGTGTAGTTGATTTGTGAAACTTCACTTTACTTTGGCGAGTAACATTCTGAGCCACAAAATATATATATATATTTAAAAATAAAAATATATATATTTTATTATGCTTACAAACACTGCATATTGCACATTATTGCTTAAGTGAGCGATTAAGCAATTGAATCATTAATTCAGTGTTGAATATATTTTAATGCATTACCTATTTATGAAAATAGAAACACTGAGTTACTGTTCTGGTATTTTCTAAAGCTTTACAGTATAAACATTTAAATTAATTTCTTCATACTTCTCAGCAGCTGCATGGTCATCCTAGACTTGCGCCTAATCGGTTCAGCGTGAGTTAGCACGAGCACAGCCGAGCTGAAGGGATGCACGTCGGACCGACGTGGTGCGCGTGGTAAACGGGCGCCTTTCACACGGGCTACTAAAAATACAGCGCGGCAGAGCTGCCATCCTCTATCAATCCTTGGAGATGAAACAGCTAGATTCTTAGCACAGTCATGGGACTTATCCCTGAGCAGAAGTGCATGGCCATACAAGCCGCGAGGCCTCGATGGAACCGTCTAGCGAAAGCGATGTATATACGCAATATGTAGGAGGTACGCCACATTTTCCTTGGCTGGTGGGGATACCGCTGCGTGGGCTGCTATAGCATTTAACCCACAGAAGGTCACGTTTTACGCCAATTATTTGCACTTTTCATTTTATCTGTTTACGCTGTTAATGCTGACACTGTTGTCTTAGAAGCCTGTTATTCATTTGTGCTCTTTATTGGTAACTAAGAAAGCAATACATATATAAATATTATAATAGCTAATGCCAAATTGCTGTCTAACTTCCAACCCACTTGCTGTCAAAAATCATTTCAAGCGAGTCAAAGTGAAGTAAAACATGTACCAATCAGAAGACTTTAATGTAACGGTCCAACTTCTTCCCCCGCCAAACGGTTACAAAGTAAATCAGTCACATGGCGGACAGTAGCCAGAGAAACGAGGGGAAAACCCTGCATAAAACAAAACCTGGATTAAAAAAGCACCGCGTGTGATTGCGGGGATATACAAAGTCACACGATTTTATTCTGAATTTTAATAACCTGCTGCAGGTGAAATGACAAGATAAGAG